GGGGGCCCTTGGAGGGGAGGGAGGCGCCCACGGGTGCCCCGCGTACCGAGCGAGCACGGGGCGCAGGACGCGGTCTCGTGGGTGGGTGCCTTGGGGTTGCAACGCGTTACCTAACGGCTTCCTCCTGCTGTGCAGAGTCAGACTCGGCCTCATCCCTGTGGAAAGTGGTCGTGCGGAGTGGGGTGCAGAGGTGTCTGGGGGACCCACCTAGCCGGAAGTACCCGGAGCTGGCTCTTGTCGGCTCTTGAGTCCTCGGATGCCCCTGGGCGGGCTCCTGAGAAGTGTTTGTTGAATGAAGAAGTTCGTAGGGCAGGGCAGGGACCGCCCCTTCGGTAACGCGAGCTCATTGCACCCCGAAACCAGCGACGGAACCGACGGGGCATGCTGTCGCTCGGGACAACATCGGGCGCCGGCGACCGACGGCCTTTTAAGCGGGTCTTGGAGCTGTGGCGGGTGGATCTCTCCTGTCAAATCCGCTCAGTTTCCCCGAGGGAGGCTGTGCGACCCGGCCCTCGCCTCTCCCTAGGGTGGGGCCTGGAGCCTTCCCTCCCGCCCCCAGCAAGAGGGTGAGGAACGCAGCCCGAGGCACGCTCCACTCGGATCTGCCTCCCATCTTCACGCCGTTGGGTGCAAGGGCGGGGCAGGCAGGAGCCAGAGGCGGTGAAGTTGAAGTTTTAAATTCTTTGCCTCCCAGAACAGTGGTTCTCAACCTTCTGGCCCTTTAAATACAGTTCCTCATGTTGTGGTGACCCAACCATAAAATTATTTTCGTTGCTACTTCATAACTGTAATGTCGCTACTGTTATGAATCATAATGTAAATATCTGATATGCAGGATGGTCTTCGGCGCCCCCAGTGAAAGGGTCATTCAACCGCCAAAGGGGTCGCGACCCTCAGGTTGAGAACCGCTGCCCCAGAAGATCCAGTCGGGCTAGCATGTCGGGACTGACGGCTCCGTGGGAAAATGCAGAGTCCAAACCGCCATCCACTGTGACCTCTTGGGGCTCTGGCGCGCTCGGCTGGAGGAAGGGATGTAACCGCCAAGCTCACACGGATTTCCGCGATCTTGGTACAAACAAAGGAGTGTGAGCTGCCTCACTGATGGCATTTCATATCGTTTCGGATGTGCGGCATTAGAGACAGCATCGGGAACGTTCACTTCACCGGTTCCTTTTTACATTTTTTTTTTAAGTGTGGCTACCAGGGAATGTTACATTGTGTGTGCGGCTGTCATTTCCGCTGAACAGCGCTGCCTGGAGGCAGGCCTGGATCTGGTTCCCACGTCTGCTTGCTCCTTACCCTCTTGTCACCAAGGCGGCCTGGCTTGCGTACCCAAGAGCAGACCTGCCCTTAAAAAGTTTGAAAGTCTGAGATCCAGAGAAACCAATAAAATATGAAGGCGGTGGCCTTAAAGCTTGCCCATAAAGATGGCACCGATGATGGGCTTTTTGAATTCAAGAATGGGACCTTCTTGCGCTCAGGGCTGTCCTCTGCCGGGCATCTCAGCGGAAAGGAGAGATGGACATCAGCCTGGAGCTGCCCTGCACTCCGTTGGTGTCAGCCTTCCATAGGCTGCTGCAGCCAGGCAGCACAACTGAAGAATATTTGTAACGCTGCTCGCTCAAGACGATTAAAGGGAACTACCTTTGCAGATGGAGTTAAGGTGGATTTTACATAGGAGGTGACTTTAGAAATGTCCTGATAGAAGAGTTAAGACTTGCCCTGGATGCTTTGGCTCAGTGGATAAAGCGTTGGCCAGCGAACCAAAGGGTCCCGGGTTCCATTCCGGTTGCAGGCTCCTCCCCCACCCGAGCCCTGATCAGAACACGTGCAGGAGGCAACCAATTGATGTGTTTCCTTCACATCGATATTTCTCTCTTGTCTTTCCCTCTCTTCCAATCTCCCTAAAAATCAATGGAAAAATATCCTATGGAGGTCATAGTTCGATGCCCGCTCAGGGCACATGCCTGGGTTGCAAGCTCGATCCCCCAGTAAGGGGCTTGCAGGAGGCAGCCAATCAATCGTTCTCTCTCATCATTGATGTTTCTATCTCTTTATCTCCCTTCCTCTCTGAAATCAATAAAATATATTTTAAAAAATTAAAAAATAAAAGTACTTTTTTTAAAAAGATGACAACAGGAGGGGGAAGGAAAAGAAATCTTGATAGAAAACAATATTTGATTAGTAGATGAGCATATCAGGTAGAGGGGAAAATTAAAAAGCAAAAAGGTGCTAAGTTGGGGTTATTTTCCACTATGAAAAATACAGTGAAGATTTCTGACCCACATAGACCTTAAGTTCTGAGGGTTTGGGGCAAATGATAAATCCATAATCAGAGGTGGGGGTTACAGGTTGTGATTAAGAACCATGAAAGAGATAAATTAGGTGTTAGGATTATGGGGAGGTCAACTTTAGAAAGAGTGGCCAGACAAGGCCTCTTGCAAGTGCTGACCTTTGAGCTGAGAGGCCTGAGGCCATTCTGAGAGATTTGAATTTTATCTTCTCTGTAGCTGGAGAAGCCATTGAAAGTTTAAAACTGAACAAGATTACATTTATATGTTTTGAAAAATCAAAAGAGTAGGGAATGGCCCTGACCGGTTTGGCTCAGTGGATAGAGCGCCGGCCTGCAAACTGAAGGGTCCCAGGTTTGATTCCGGTCAAGGGCATGTACCTTGGTTGCAGGCACATCCCCAGTGGTGGGTGTGCCAGGAGGCAGCTGATCAATGTTTCTCATTGATGTTTCTAACTCTCTACCCTTCTCCCTTCCTCTCTGTAAAAAATCAATAAAATACATTTTAAAAAAAAAAAAGTAGGAAATGAATTTGAACTGGGAGAGATTTTCAAGTTGAAGAACCTTGCCGGGGTTCAGGTAAAAGATGATGACACGAAATAAAGGAGTAAAGGAACCAGGTTGAGAGATTTAGGCAGGGTCCTTAATCCTGGTTGTGGGAGGTGATGGAGTGGAAGAAGACAAACATTATTACAAAGGTTCTAGGGAGCGTGACAGAATGAATGGAGCTACCCAGTCAATGCAATCTATATATATAAGAGGCTAATATGCAAAGTGTCCCCTCAGGAGTTTGATCACTTGCTATGATATGCACTGACCACCAGGGCGTGGCTTGGAATGAAGGAAGGCCCCAGCCAGCAGCTGGAAGGCCCCGATTGGCCCTGATCACCTGCCAGGCCTAGGGACCTACCGGTGCATGAATTTCATGCACCAGGCCTCTAGTGCAACTAAAATTTCACACATGGGTAATGAGCTAGGTGTTCACACATCCCCAACTTTTAGGACCCAAGTTTAAGGATAAAACTTGAGCCAAGGAAAGTGGAGAGTGAGATAACGCCAATTATCAGTCTGTGGTTAAGCCGGTGAAGCCTTGCGGTGCCTGTTCTCAGAGCCCCTGCCCACTCCCTCCAGCTGCTTCCTGTCTCCACTCCACTGCCTGCCCTTCACCCCCACCCTCGCCCACCCCAGCGCGGTTTCTACCAGCTGCTCAGAAGGGGGAAAATGTTTTCAACCAGCATCTTAAGTTTCATTCCGATGGCAATGTCATAAAGAGAGGGAAGAATTCTTAAACTGGTTCTCAGGTTCACAGTGCATTTGAATCCAAAAAATGCACCCAAATGTTCTTGGGGGGGGGGCAGAACCTCTTCACATACTGGGAGTGACCTGGCTTGTGACTCAGTGTCACTTAGGAGATACTGGGTGAGATGGAGATTCTCTCCCCAGTAATGAAGCACAGTGACTCATTTGGCTATTTACTGGTGCACACTTTGTAAAAATGTTTAGTTAAAAACCAGATTTGTGAGTCACCTAAGTAAAAATAACATTAGCATTTTCACCAAATGAGTACTGCTACTCTTAAGCAGTCTTTTCTTTAGATTCTCATTCCCCTTTCAGATGTGTGTTGATGTCTTGAAGAATGTGCCTCCCACCATTTGCATGGAAGAGAAGAGAACCACAATAGCATGTGGATTAGAACCTGCCCCGAACCTGTGCCTCCTCTAGTTTCTGCCTCTCAGTCAACAGCACAGTAATCAGGCCAAAGCACCGATCAGTCTCCGTGACTCCTTCCTTCCCCTCACTACCCACAGCCAATCTATGATTGAGTCCCATTGATGCCACCTCCAACATCTGTCTGAAATCCATTCCCTTCTCTCCACCTCCTCTGCCACCACCCCAATCTTAGCCACTGTCTTCTCTTAGACCATTGCCATATGCTCGGTACCCCTCCCACTTCCTCTCATGCTTTTCTCCAGACCATTCTCCATATAGTAGCTGCTCCAGATTTATCACCTGCCCCCCCCCCCAAATTAAACCCAAATGTCATGGCTTCCTGTTGCTCTTAGAATAAAACCAAGCTTAACAATGGCTTACAAGACCCTGCATAATCTGGCTCTTAATTCTCTCTCCAGCCTCATCTCAAACTCTTCCCCTTTCCTGGCTGTGCTACAGCCCTCCTGCCCTCCTGGCCCCTCTCTGTTTTTTTTTTCCTAAAGTATTTTAATTGATTTCAGAGAGGAAGGGAGAGGGAGAGAGCGCAGAAACATCTACGATGAGAGAGAACCATGGATAGGCTGCCTCCTGCATACCCCTACCGGGGATTGAGCCCACAACCCAGGCATATGCCCCGACCGGGAATCAAACCACGACCTCCTGGCTCACAGGTTGACACTCGACCACTGAGCCACGCCAGCTGGGCCTGGCCTCTCTTCCTTCCACACGAAAAGCTCCTTTCTGCCTCTGGGCCTCCACACTGTCCCAGTCTGCGGTACTGCCTCGTTCAATGGCTGACTCATTTTCCAATGAGTCAGAAGCTCAATGTCACCTTCCTCATACAGGCCTTCCAGACCACTTACCTAATCTTTGTTTATTTGCATTATACTGGTAGTCCTTATCACATAACCAGAACTTTCTGTTTAATTTTTTAAAATTATTTATTCTGTCGTTCTCACTAAAATATAAGCTCCATGAAAGTAGAGACCCTGATTATCTACACTAATAAAAGACAAACATGTAAATTGACCATACCTTCGCTACGTCTTAAGCCACGCCGACCAGCCAATCAGAGTGACTATATGCAAATTAACCCAGCCAAGATGGCGGCTGTCAGCCACGGAGCTGGAGCAAGCAGGAGGCTTGGTTGCCCCAATGATGGAGGAAGCCAAACTTCCCGCTTGCTGCGGCGGGCTCTGAGCTCCTCTCAAGGCTCCAAAGTTTAAATTATAGAAGGTAAATAAACCCCAGATACCTGCTTTCAGCTGGCTGTGGCCACAGAGCTGGAGCGAGCAGGAGGCTTCCCTCCTATCCGCCCTGGCCGGCTCTGAGCTCCTCTCAAGGCTACAAAGTTTCAATTATAGAAGGTAAATAAATTTATAATCCCATTGTCCCCTCATCCCCCCAGTCTTGCCCTCACCCTCACCCTCACCCCCTGTTGTCTGCGTCCATCGATTATGCTTATAGAGCCTGCAACCTTTTGTGCATTACAGGGGACCATCAAGAAAGTGAAAAGACAAGCCACAAAATGGTAGAAAATATTTACAAGTCATTTATCTGATAAGGATCTTATATCTGGAATATATAAAGAATGCTTACCCAGCCCTTGTGACTCAGCGGTTGAGCATGGACCCATGAACCAGGAGGTCACAGTTTGACTCCCGGTCAGGGCACATACCTGAGTTGCGGGCTCCATCCCCAGTAGGGGGTGTGCAGGAGGCAGCCTATTGATGATCCTCTCATCATTAATGTTTCTATCGCTCTCTCCCTCTCTCTGAAATCAATAGAGACATATTTTTTTGTAAAAAGAACTCTTATAACTCAATAACAAAGGATCAACAGCCCAAATAAAAATTGAGCAAAGGACTTGAATATACATTTCTCCAGAGAAGATGTACAAGTGGCCAGCAAGCACATGCAATGGTGCTTAGTCACAACGTGATACACACTCCATTACCATTAACCGCACACGTGCACACACACACACACACTAACCACTGTTGATAAGGATGCAGAGAAATTAGAATCCTCAGATACTGCTGCTGGGAATGTAAAATGATGCGGCCCTGTGGAAAACGGTTTGGCAGTTCCTCAGTAAGTCGAATGTAGAGTGACCATATGACAGCAATTCTACTCCTAGATTCCTACCCAGGAGAATTGACAATAGGTGTCCAAACAAGAACTTGTACAGAAATGTCCATAGCAGCTGTTTGCACAATATTTAAAGGCGGAAACAGCCCAGATGTCCATCAATAAGTGAATGATTAAACTGAGTGTGGTCAGTCCACCCAATGGAATACTATTCAGCCATAAGAAGGAATGAAGCACTGACACCTGCTCGGCCTGGCTGGACCTTGAAGAGAAGCAGACCTGAAAGGCACAGTGTGTATGATTCTGTTTATATAAAGTATTCAGAATAGAGAAATCCATAGAGACAGACCGCAGATTAGTGGCTGCTAGGACAGGGATGGGGAACATCGGCCCGCGGGCCATATAAGGCCCATGAGATCCTTTGATCTGGCCCTGCCAGGGCATTAGGTGTGAGTTAATTAAATTTTTGACCAAACATAGCAGACTAATTTTTT